AGGCTTTCATGGCCGGAATCACTGGGTTGTTGTAGGTTTTTCCAGGCTATATGGCCATGTTCTGGAGGCAATTTTTCTCCTGACGTTTCGCCTGCATCTATGGCAAGCATCCTCAGAGGTAGCCATATAGCCTGGAAAAACCTACAACAACCCAAATTGGAGATAGCTCCTATATCTTTAGTGGTTATGTAGAACAAGAAATTTCATTGAGTGCTGCTTGTAACCTACTGACAATCTGTCTTCTACACAACCAGAGGTTGAGTATGTGCCATTTTCAGGTTTCTACTGTAACTAATTAATAGAAGTATGCATTTCTTCGTTTGTCCTCTTAAGTGGTATCAAATTCATTAAATTCATACTTATGTGGCAATAGTTAATATGTGGATATGACCCACACCAAAAATCTGAGAATCAAAACTTACCCCATACTTTTTCATTTTAGTTTTGTAAATCTCGGAAGGCTCTCAAAGTCAGTTTCATATTCAGTGCAAGGAAGCAAAGCTGAAAGCAAAGCCAAAAAGGCTGCCTTAGTGCCTTGACTTTCCTCTGTAAATTAATATCCTTTCGTTATTAGAAGAGGCTGGAAAAGGAGGGAGAAAGCAGAGTTTGCTGGGAAAATCACAGAACTCTGGAAAATGTAGCTTGGGAAGGTGAGGAGCCCTATGCCAGAGAATTCAAAAGGCTCAGCATCAGGGAGATTTGCCCCTCCATAACCAGTCTCAGTTCTAATAAATTTAGTATTCTGTACTATGGGTTAGAATATTACTATTCCTGGGTTATAAATTTTCTAATTGGTTCTATCATACAATGCAAAAGTTTATAAAAATGCAAAAAACTTTATCTTTGCACAATAGTCATCATGTTACAGCACATTTTGCTGTAGTATCAAAGTCCACCAATTTAACATAATCATCCACTCATTTAACAAAGTTTTTGGTGCAAAAACAAAGTTCCTGGAGTAGAACTACTACTTTCAAAGTAAGTACTACACAAATACTACACAAATAAACAGGAAATAGCACTTTCAAACTAGGAGCATGTTGATAATAATAATAATAATAATAATAATAATAATAATAATAATAATAATAATCAGAGGCAGGGCGGCCATCTGTTGGGGATGTTTTGATGGTTTCTACACTAAGGTTTTTTTTATGGGTTAAAATGCAATTTCCTAATTGCTTTTATCATAAAAACATGGTGAAAGTTTATAAAACTGCAAAAGCCCCTGAAGTTTACCCAATTATAGTAATTATGCACAATTACTATAAGGAATTAGTAACAAAAATTTGTTACTCCCATTTGACTAACTATACTTTAGAAACACTTTAGAAAGGCTGAGAGGAGATATGATAGCCATGTATAAATATGTGAGAGGAAGCCACAGGGAGGAGGGAGCAAGCTTGTTTTCTGCTTCCTTGGAGACTAGGACGCAGAACAATGGCTTCAAACTACAAGAGAGGAGATTCCATCTGAACATTAGGAAGAACTTCCTGACTGTGAGAGCCATTCAGCAGTGGAACTCTCTGCCCCGGAGTGTGGTGGAGGCTCCTTCTTTGGAAGCTTTTAAGCAGAGGCTGGATGGCCATCTGTCAGGGGTGATTTGAATGCAATATTCCTGCTTCTTGGCAGGGGGTTGGACTGGATGGCCCATGAGGTCTCTTCCAACTCTTTGATTCTATGATTCTATGATTCTATGAAACAAAATGCCAGTGCCCCCCGCTTCAGCTCTGCTTTGAGATTTCAACACAGCGTAGTTGGAAGTCAGTAGTATTCTACCCTGTGTTGAAATCTCGCAGCAGAGCCATTTGTTTAGTAAGTTGAATTTATAAAGCCTCAGAAAATATTATTGCAAACAAATGGATGAAGGACCCTTTAAAGAAACCTCTTGAAACAAGGACATAAAAATACCCAGGAACCTTGTTGTATTCCCAAGACTGTTTATTACATTTTGAATTCACATGGTCCACACAATCTTCCAAAGGTTGTGTGGACAAATTTCAACATATCCAATATATGTTGAAATTTGTCCACACAACCTTTGGAAGATCAGACAAATTATTTTGAAAAACTTGTATATTATGTTTGTTACACAGTTGTAAATTGTCCCTAAGTGTTTGCTGCCCATGCTTGTGTATTATATGAGTTAGTTTGGTATTTTTCTCATTACTCCAATTGGTATTTGTGCTGAAGTTTATAGTAATAGGACATTTGTGTATTAACATTGCATTTATAGATACCTGTGTAGTTAGAGGAAATATATGCTGCCAGACATATTCTGCAAATTAGATATGTTTCAAAATTAAGCGTTAACATGTTGTACGCAATGCTGTCTTTCTAAAAATATAAGGAATCTCTTTTAGGTTTAGGAAGAGAAGAAAATCTTGCTAGTACTTTTGAGTTAATGTATGCAAGTAACTGTGCAAAGGACTTACATAAGGAAGTGTGCAATTAGTTACATTGTTATTTTGCATAAATACATTTTTAAAAGTATTTAATATCATCCTCAGACAAGTTCCTAAAATGTATCTCATAGTGCATTGTGCATACATTATATCATAACTAGACACAGGACCTTCTGTATGCTGAAGGATCATTGTTCTATGTTTCTGCTAAGGGCAATGGATGAGTGGAAGAAAGTGATATCAACCAATTATCTGAAGTAACTTTCTATCTCATCTTCTACACTTCCCCTCAACAATTCTGTCGAAGTAGTTTTTCAGGGACTTATGGATGTGCACAATGGAGCAGAAAACTGCCCTCTTACATTGAAAAAGAGCTCAATTCATTGAAAATCTTTTCTACAAACACAAGAGTTCCCTTAGATACAACTTGTAACAGCTTGTACATGCTGTTGTTTTAATGTAAAGGTCAATTTATTCCACCTTGTGCTTTAGAAGATAGCAAGTCTTGATTATCACTATAGAAATGCATACAGAATACAGAAAGTGGGAAAATTATTCAGCAGAGCAGAGGTGCATCTACACTGTAGAATTAATGTAGTGTAACACCATTTTAACTACGATGTCTCAATGTAATGGAATCATGGGTATTGTACAAGGTTTTTAGTTTGCTTTTCCAAAGGGTGATGGTTCCACACCAAACTGCAGCTCTCAGGATTCCATAGTATTGAGGCATCACAGTTAAAATGCTCTCAAACTGCATTGGTTCCACATTTATATGCACCCAATGTTCAGACAATGGCAACCTTTTATTGGATCAGGAGTCGTAGTGCACCCCTGTTTTCATCTATGTGGTGTTGAGAGGCACTGAATACTAGTGTTTGGGCTTAGATATGAGTATGAGCATTTTTTCCAAGTTTGGTGCATACTCAAGAGGGATTTAAGTTCATCTATATACTTCCCATTTCATCAAGAACAAGACATACATACAAGTTGGGCTATTTTGATATCACTTCACTAATTTAATATTCAGTCCCATGTTATGATACTGAAATATTAAAGACCACAGCAGTCAACATTTTGATGGATAGCGAATGTTCCCAGGCATCCTGACAGTCAAACTTGGCTAGAGGATGGCCCCTGTTGGATATATTATTTTCAGGTATTGTAGATTAGCAACAGGCATCTTTCCCCTGTGGTTGCTGCTAACCATGGAATATCAAATCCTGTCAGAATAGAAGGGCAATTTATTTGCCTATTCTAGCTATTTCACAAATAATCTGGAAACTGACATTTGGTGGTTGTTGGCTCTTAGATGTAAGTTTTGCAGTCTAATTTTTCTGTTCTTTGAATGGACATTTTCCTGTGACCCTTGCTGAGAATATTACAGTTTGAATGGCAGTATATATAATATTACTCATTTGGACTTTTCTAGAGATCAAAAACAATCAACAAGCCAAGTCAAACTACTAATACATGGCTTCAGAAGGCAGGGGACATTGCCAGAAACACACAGGAAGTGCCATTCACTTTTTGGGTTTTTTGTTTGCTTGCTTTTGTTGTGTTGTCATTCTTCTTTCAATTCAATTTCCAAAAGCATATATATGCCAAATAGTTGAATGACCAAAATCAGATGTTTTTCAATATTTTCATTTCTTAATATACAGTAAGACCCCCCAGGCTAGAGAAATGTTCCTAGACCTCCCATGGATGCCTGACACTGTAGATAATAGTGAATTCTAGAATATTTTTTTACTATTCCTGGCCTAGAAGCATGCCATAGCAATAAAGAACATAGAGAAGCCTGCAAATATTTATATGAGAGAATATTTTTGGAGCATGAATTATCTCCATCCTACTAGCCCCAGAGGCTTATATGACATGGGAGATATTTTTCTTCAAAGCTGTTCCTGGACTATGGAAATTCATCTCAAGAGAAGTTCACTTGGTCCCCTCTTTGTTTTCTTTTAACCACCAAACAAACACATTCTTACTTAAGTTACCACTGTTTAACCAGTTTGCATAGAAAGACACAGAATGGGTGTTCTGTTTTTTTTAAAAAAAAATTAATTCTTTGTGTACTTTTAATTGCTTTAAATAAATGTTAGTTTTAGTTTTAAACATTAAATTAATGTTTTAAAACTAAGGTTTTAATGGGATTGTGTAATGTTTTTTCAACTTTTGCACCCTATATTGTTTTAGCTCTTTTGCTTTAACTTATATTGTAAGCTGCCTGCCTCTTATTGGAAGAAAGGTGGGTTATAAATCAAATAAATAAATGAATGTATGTTTAGAAAGTACAACCTCGAGTTGCCTCCAGGCTGAGAGGGGCGGTATACAAGTATAGTAAATAAAATAGTAAATAAATAGACCACAAATAGGCAACTGTAGCCCTGTGTTGTTGAATTGCAGCTCCTTTAATCCCTAACTCAGGGGTGAAGAATGCTAGGCGTTACAACACAGTACCTGGCAGGTTACATATCCCATCCATATCCTACACCAATTATTCTAAGACATAAAATTCTGTCTCCTTCTGAGATTGTGAGATTCTTTCCCATGACAGGGACATTGAACAAAGGATGTAATCAGTGGCCTCACCTTGTATTTAGCACTTGTTGAATAGCTGGTCCTCCATCGGACGGTGTAAAATCGAACCTCAGTTGTCTTCTGATTCTTGGGGACAGAGTTGTCTGCCCAGCTGACCCTCACCGCATCATGGGTTAATGCTACGGCCTGGACACCTACTGGTGGGAGCATGGGGGTGGAGATATCTGGGACTGAGGTAGGGAAATCATCAAGCAAAGGATAAAAATCAACTTCTAATGGGTCAATGGGATCTGGATCACAAAAGCCACCAAAAATGAGCATACCACAAAATTAAAATTAAAATAAAGAAATGCATACTCAAATAAAGAAACAAAACAGCCACCAATGAGATACACATCACAATGAGTTAAATGTATGGCAGTAAGGATGATGGGAGAAGAATATGAGAAGAACAGAAGAAAAGAGCCATTAATTGAAAAATACACAAGTACAATTGCCATTTGCTCACAAAATGTGTTCCAGTCTAAGTAACCACCATTGAGTGCATATTGAAACCATCCCAAATATACCATTATGCTTTCTTTTATCAAATTGAAGATGCAATGCTTGTTTTTTTCATCCCCTCAAAATGATTTACATGCCTTTATAATAAATCCCTTGAATGATATGTATTTATTTAAAACTTAAGGCCTTGTCCTGTGAACCTTGTCTGTAACCTTGTCCCTTTCAAAGATTCAACATTTAACACTAAAGTGAACCATACATTTACCTTTGTTCTTGTTTGCATTGAAAAGGGCCTCGTTTTATGGCCACTTTCAGAACTCCCTGGATACCTTTGCATTGTTTTCTGCACATTCTTCTCTGCTATGTTTCTGTTTTTCATTACCCTCATTTGTCCTCACTGTCATTCAAGTGAGGGGGGCTAAGACATTTTAACTTCATTGGAAGAAACAGTGTTATGAATATGTGTAAACTGAATGATGTGGCTTGACACTGTAGGACATTGCTATTCAATCCAGTGGACTGTGAGAACTGGGGGAGCGAGGACGGGTGAGTGAAAGTGATAGGAAAATAATGAAAAGGTGCAGAGAAAAAGGTTTTTTGGTGCAGGGGGAAAAGGAAACTAATATCAAAGCAGTGTGAATATTCATTCTGAAAGCATAATTATTGAAAATGTTTGATGAATGATATCTTTTGATGGCATTTGTTTGCCTCATTGGATGTGGACATTAGGGGAGAAAGACAAAAATTAGAGAATATGTGATGTAATCCTAGCTTGGATGATGGTCTATTTTTATTGTTAACATTGCTATTGCTATTCTTGTGTGCCTTCAAATCATTTCTGACTTATGGTGATATGAGATTTTCTAGGCAGGATTTGCTCACAGGGAGGATGAAATAGTTGGATATTGACATCCCTACTTTAACCAAGACAGCCAATGAGGAGGAGCGATAGGTGTTGACATTCAACAACATCTCGATAGCCACTTCACTCACAAACTTTATTGTCACTGACATGTGGCATAGTAGCTCATGGTACCAGATATTACGAGAATCTGATTTAGCACACAGAATACATAAGGGAAGAAGGATTTGTTTGAGTTCATTTCTAAAACTTCAGAAGATGTTCATTTGGGAAATTGTAATTTTATTACTGAATTTGTTTCCTTTTATTTTTAAGGAGAACAAACTGTTTTTGGAGTCTCCTCTTCTGGCCATAACAAAAATACTTCCCCATCTCCCCCCCCCCCAATATTTCCTCTAACACAAGACAGTCCTAAGAGATGAAAGGGAAAATAAGCCCATGCTTTGCAACTTGTTGAGCTGTTTTAATTGCAGGGCATGGCTCTATTGCACCTAAATAGCCACGGGAAGGGGCAAAATAGAGTGAAATACATGAAGGGGGGGGGGTTACCTATTTTAATTCAAAATATTTGTGGATAACAATTGTTTGAGATGTGAAGACCGAATATGTGTGAGTGCTCCTTGAGGATCTTGGAAAGGGTTCATGTGACAACCCCCAACAATCATGTCCCAACCCATTTCCATCACTCATTTTAAAATGTCCTTTTTAAAACTGTCAATAAACTGTAATAAATTAATAGCAGATAAGGAGATCTGTGACAAGTGCAAATTATTGAAATCTTGAATCTTTTCTAAATAGTAGCAAATAGGGATTTTCAATATTCAACCACAATGTAGAACTATTCAGTCCTTTCTACAGTTTGATGCATGCTCCCTTCCACTTCCAATTTACGCAATGTTTTGTTGGTTAAAAACATACAGCAAAAAGTACACTTCTGCTCTGTACTCCCTGCAAGGTATTTGAAGCTTTATCACATTGCCCCCTTCCCTCAACAGGAATACAACTATGATGGAATCTATATTGACATACAACACAGATCAAAGAACTAGGAAAGATACTGGGGGGGGGGGGGCAGAGGAAGAGAGGGCATGGAAAGTGATTTCTGCCTAGAAATTTACAAAACCTTTCACAGAACTTTATCTAACATCACACATATATTGACCATGCATTCCTATTTGTTTTGCTTGCCCTTTTCCCGTAAAGTTCTTCCCATCAATAAAAAAAAAAACATCTTTTAATACAGCAGCTGTAATTCCCTGTGAAGCTTTTAACCAGAGGCTGGATGGTTATCTAGCTTTGATTGTGATTTTACTGCATGGCAGGGGTTGGACTAGATGGCCCATGTGATCGCTTCCAGTGCTGTTATTTTATGATTCTAGCTCTTTGAACCTCTCCAGATTGTCCTCAAACTCCTGGAAATTTTTTAACTTTATTTTTTTTTAGATGAAACATTCTAGGATTGTTTTTAGAGTGTCTATAAGGAGTTTTTAGGGGGGGCAATAATGTATTTAAAATGTTTTCTACCCTGGGATTGTTTCTATTGGTTGATATTTGTCACCTCAAAGGTGCTTGTGGATTTGGAGGTGATGCTGAAATACTTTAAATAAATAATAAAAACTCCTTATGTTCTGAAAAAAAGGGTAGGCAGAAAGACAGAGTACAAACTCCTTCTACCTACCTTTATCTCAGAACACAGGTATTGTTTTGTTATTATATATGGGTATATCCATATCTCAGGAAATAATGCCCGACTGCTCATTGGAGGGAAGGATATTAGAGGCAAAGATGAAGAACTTTGGCCACATAATGAGAAGAGAGGAAAGAGAAGACAATGATGCTGGGGAAAATGGAAGGAAAAAGATAGAGTGGTCGATCAAAAGCAAGATGAATAGATGGTATCCTTGAAGTGACTAACTTGACTCTGAAGGAGCTGGGGTTGGTGATGGCCGACAGGGAGTTCTGGCGTGGGCTGGTCCATGAAGTCACGAAGAGTCGGAAGCGACTGAACGAATAAACAACAACAACATATGTGCTATTGTGTGAATGTCAATGTTGTTCACTCTTGGTTTAAAGGTGTTACTACTAATAGGTTTCAGGACACACTTTTTAGTAGTTACTGGTCAGACTGAACATCAAAGTAAATTGATGTGACCCATCGAATGGAGATCTCTGCCAAGAATTACTGTCAACCATCATTATGCTTCATTATTAGCATGTTGTTTTTGTTCTCCAATGCAGTTCTTCAATCCTGAAGGTTGGGAACACTCTAAATCACAAGTGGAGAATTCCAATGGGTATAAAGGTCAGTTTCCCCTTTATTATTGTTCCGTTCTGTTAAGAATGGTTAAGAACTTCCTTGGAGGATGGTGGATTGTTCTCTAGTGGAGATTTTTAAGATAAAAATCCACTGGCTGCCGATCCAATTCCGAGCACAATTCAAAGTGCTGGTTTTGACCTACAAAACCCTATACGGTTCCGGCCCAGTGTATCTGTCCGAACGGATCTCCCTCTACATCCCACCTCGAAGTTTAAGATCTTCTGGGGAGGCCCTGCTCTCGACCCCGCCAGTGGCACAAATGAAACTGGCGGGGACGAGGAGCAGGGCCTTCTCAGTGGTGGCCCCCCACCTGTGGAACTCACTCCCCGGGGAGATCAGATCGACGACTTCCCTTCTAGCGTTTAGGAAAAAACTAAAGACCTGGATGTGGGACCAAGCTTTTGGCCATGCTGACAACTGATCAAAGGACCTATCGATAGACAAGGACAATGGAATGGAATGGATATATGGACTCTGATATATGGACTCTGACATGAGATAGTTTTTATGATTTTAATAGGTATTGATGTTTCATTTTAATTGTTGAACTGTTATATTTTGTATTGTTTGTTGTGTGATTTGGGCATCTAATTGTGCCTCCTTTGTAAGCCGCCCTGAGTCCCCCCGGGGTGAGAAGGGCGGGGTATAAGTAGATGAAATAAATAAATAAATAAATAAATAGCTACCTCTTAGAAATTGACTCTTAGACAATGAATTATTTAGTGATTGGGATCCCTCTCAATTTTATGATTCTTTAGTCAGGAACAGTGTCAGGACAGGCAAACTGTTTTAAAAACTGTGGTTGCTGAAAGGTGGGGTAGGATGCTGAAAGCACACTTTATAACTGCATAGTGTAAAAACTGCATCCCTTATGTGAAAATTTGAATCTGAAATGTTCCAGAATGCAAAATTGTTTGTTGGGTGGCTGATATAGTGTGACATCTTTGCTTTCTGATGATTGCGTGTACTCAAATGTTATACTGTGCACAATTTTATTAAAATATATAGTACAAAATTTCCTTCAGGATATGTGTTTGTGTCTATATATACATATGTGTGTGTATGTGTATATATTTGGACATGGCTCTAATGCCCAAGGTATCTTATTACGTAATGTTCCGAAAATCTGAACTCCAAAGCACTTTTGGTCCCAAGCATTTCAGATTAGGGATGCTGAACCTGTAGAATCATAGAATCCTAGAGTTGGAAGGGACCTCATGGGCCATCCAGTCCAACCCCCTGCCAAGAAGCAGGAAAATTGCATTCAAAGCACTCCCAACAGATGGCCATCCAGCCTCTGTTTAAAAGCTTCCAAAGAAGGAGCCTCCACCACACTCCGGGGCAGAGTTCTACTGCTGAACAGCTCTCACAGTACCTCTGTGAAATTCTGTAAGGTTAATCTCCTTTTTACATTCTATATATGTCCAATTTTTTTGCAGTACAAACTTTTGGAGACCAGATAGACTTGGTGTGATTCAATGCGGATTAAATCAGAATAAGATCTGAATTATTCATTTGGACTCCAAAACAAATCAGGGATGGGGTGTGGATGCATACCACTACTAGTTACATTTCTAAGACCATAACTGAATGTTATGATGAATTAT